TCCATCCCTCACAATCACAACAGATACATCAGACTCAGGATGGGGTTACCTGTCTTCCAGCGGACACCATGGAAGGGGAGTGTGATCATGACACATGGCAAGCTGCCACATCAACTACCGGGAGCTACTAGTAGTTCTTATTGTCTTAAGAAGGGAAGCTGGATTGAGGAACAGGACCATTCTGGTACTGACAGACAGTACTGCAGTAGTACATTGTCTGAACAAACAAGGCAGTTCTCGTTCACGGAGTCTTCTCCACCTCTTGGAAAAGATTTTATTCTTGGCAGCCAAGCGAGATATTTCCCTGCAAGCTTCTCACCTGGAGGGGAGAAACAATCTATGGGTGGATGCACTTTCGCGACAGGATCCTTCAATGGTAGAGTGGGCTCTTTCTACACACATGTTCAGTCAGTTAATCAAGATTTACGGAACTCCTCAAGTGGATCTGTTTGCCAGTCCAACAAACCACCGCCTTCCGGAGTTCCGGACAAGAACGGTGAAGTACAAATGCAGGGGGACCAGATGCCCTCAGGGAAGACTGGAGAAAATGGATTTATATATACCTTTTTCCTCCTCCACTTACATCACTGATGCTGCAGATACTACTTCGCCTCAAGATGTTTCAGGGGAGGGTCCTACTGATAGCTCCACTATGGGAAGCACAACCATGGACAGCAGACCTGCTCAGGTGGTGTCCTCACCCTCTTCCTCTTCCAGACTCAGCCCTCATGAATGTGAACCTAGGTGCCTTTTGGAAATCACTTCGGCTTCACGCCTGGAGTTTTTGCGTGCCGCCTTCTTAAAGTGTCATTCGGAGGATACAGCAAATGATATGTTGAAGTGTCATAGGCAGTCGACAGTTCGACAGTACCAGTCAGCTTGGAAGGTTTTCCAGGAATTTGTAGCAATTCGGAAGCCTTCTTCTATTTCTAGTAACTATCTTATAGTTTGCTTCATATCTTTTTCACTGCAAGGACTTATCTTCTGCCTCTATTTCATCCTACATGGCAGCAGTTGCAGATCCTCTTTTTAATGCTTATGGTGTAAAGGTTGATAACCATTCGTTGGATTTACTGAAACGCTTTCTTCCTGCAGCGTCCTCCGAGACGTTCAGTTCTACCTACATTGTCATTGGAGAAGGTATTGGATCTCCTTTCGTCTGAGAGATATTCGGTGGATCCATCTCCTTTGGATCTTCTTCATAAGACATTATTTCTTATTGCTTTAGCTTCAGGTCTTAGATCTTCACAGATAGCAGCTCTGTCCCGGGGCCCTTCTTTCACCTCTTTTAAGGAGGATTTATCTTCTGTCTCTTTAGCTCCTTTCCCGTCCTTCATTGCAAAGAATGAAAGACAGGATCACATTCTGTCTCCAGTCTGTATACCTGCCTGGATGGTACAACGGTCCCACCACACTTTGTGTCCAGTAAAAGCTCTTCACCAATATCTTCATTCATTTGAGGTACAGGATGTCAAACACCTGTAGGTTTGGCCAGATTCCCTTAAGGTCTGTTCTAGAGCCCATATTGCGTCCATACTCCGTCGGGTTATTGATATAGCCGATCCTGGGAATTCTCCACTTGCACATCAAGTGAGGAAGTATACATTAGCTTTCTTGCGTACTTTTAGCGTGAGTAAGGTTCAGAGGGCCGGCCAGTGGGCTTCGTGCCAATCTTTTGTTAACAGATATCTTCTTTCTAATACTAGTGACAGCTGATGTGTGGCCATGTCTGTTCCTCCCTCTTTAGATGTCGATTAATTGACTTTTAACCAAAAGTTAAGCGGGTTTTAGTTGCCAAAGAAGCATTTTTGATGTTCATTTACCCTTTTATTGTCATGCATTATATTTTCTGTAAGAGTTATGTCAGACCATTAATAAAGCAAATGATATGTTGAAGTGTCATAGGCAGTCGACAGTTCGACAGTACCAGTCAGCTTGGAAGGTTTTCCAGGAATTTGTAGCACTTCGGAAGCCTTCTTCTATTTCTAGTAACTATCTTATAGTTTGCTTCATATCTTTTTCACTGCAAGGACTTATCTTCTGCCTCTATTTCATCCTACATGGCAGCAGTTGCAGATCCTCTTTTTAATGCTTATGGTGTAAAGGTTGATAACCATTCGTTGGATTTACTGAAACGATCTTTCTTCCTGCAGCGTCCTCCGAGACGTTCAGTTCTACCTACATGGTCATTGGAGAAGGTATTGGATCTCCTTTCGTCTGAGAGATATTCGGTGGATCCATCTCCTTTGGATCTTCTTCATAAGACATTATTTCTTATTGCTTTAGCTTCAGGTCTTAGATCTTCACAGATAGCAGCTCTGTCCCGGGGCCCTTCTTTCACCTCTTTTAAGGAGGATTTATCTTCTGTCTCTTTAGCTCCTTTCCCGTCCTTCATTGCAAAGAATGAAAGACAGGATCACATTCTGTCTCCAGTCTGTATACCTGCCTGGATGGTACAAGGTCCTACACCAAATAAAAGCTCTTCACCAATATCTTCATTCATTTGAGGTACAGGATGTCAAACACCTGTAGGTTTGGCCAGATTCCCTTAAGGTCTGTTCTAGAGCCCATATTGCGTCCATACTCCGTCGGGTTATTGATATAGCCGATCCTGGGAATTCTCCTCTTGCACATCAAGTGAGAAGTAGCTACATTAGCTTTCTTGCGTACTTTTAGCGTGAGTAAGGTTCAGAGGGCCGGCCAGTGGGCTTCGTGCCAATCTTTTGTTAACAGATATCTTCTTTCTAATACTAGTGACAGCTGATGTGTGGCCATGTCTGTTCCTCCCTCTTTAGATGTCGATTAATTGACTTTTAACCAAAAGTTAAGCGGGTTTTACCGCTTCATTTTTATGTTCATTTACCCTTTCTAGATGAGGTTTAAAAGCATGAGGATACAGCAAATGATATGTTGAAGTGTCATAGGCAGTCGACAGTTCGACAGTACCAGTCAGCTTGGAAGGTTTTCCAGGAATTTGTAGCACTTCGGAAGCCTTCTTCTATTTCTAGTAACTATCTTATAGTTTGCTTCATATCTTTTTCACTGCAAGGACTTATCTTCTGCCTCTATTTCATCCTACATGGCAGCAGTTGCAGATCCTCTTTTTAATGCTTATGGTGTAAAGGTTGATAACCATTCGTTGGATTTACTGAAACGCTTTCTTCCTGCAGCGTCCTCCGAGACGTTCAGTTCTACCTACATGGTCATTGGAGAAGGTATTGGATCTCCTTCGTCACCATCCATCTCCTTTGGATCTTCTTCATAAGACATTATTTCTTATTGTTTTAGCTTCAGGTCTTAGATCTTCACAGATAGCAGCTCTGTCCCGGGGCCCTTCTTTCACCTCTTTTAAGGAGGATTTATCTTCTGTCTCTTTAGCTCCTTTCCCATTTTTCATTGCAAAGAATGAAAGACAGGATCACATTCTGTCTCCAGTCTGTATACCTGCCTGGATGGTACAAGGGTCCTACACCAATATCTTCATTCATTTGAGGTACAGGATGTTAAGCACCTGTGGGTTTGGCCGGATTCCCTTAAGGTCTGTTCTAGAGCCCATGTTGCGTCCATACTGCGTCAGGTTATTGACCTAGCCGATCCTGGGAACTCTCCTCTTGCACATCAAGTGAGAAAGTATGTGGCTACATTAGCTTTCTTGCGTACTTTTACCATGAGTAAGGTTCAGAGGGCCGGCCAGTGGGCTTCGTGCCAATCTTTTGTTAACAGATATCTTGACAATACTAGTGACAGCTGATGTGTGGCCATGTCTGTTCCTCCCTCTTTAGATGTAAATTAATTGACATTTAGCCAAGTGTTAGGCAAGTTTTAATTGCCAAAGAAACATTCTTTATGTTCATTTACCCTTTTATTGAGTTATATTTTCAGTATGAGTTATGTCAGACCAATTAATAAAGGTGTTACAAGCTTCAATTTTGGTATCCTTTTTTCCCATCTATTTGATTTCCCTCCTCTTTTTACGCCTACCTATGGGGCCAGCTTAGTGGGACGAAAATATTTCATTTGAAGGATTGAAAATGATTATTTTCGTCCCACTCACCTGGCCCTTCTTCTTTTTCCCACCCTCCTCCCCTCTTTATCTCATAGTCAGGCAGAGATACATAGAATGACGAGGCACGTGGCAGGAGGGGGTTGGTGGGGGGATTACTTGCGTATTATTGGAACACACGGGATTTTTTAAAATTTTGTTTTCAACTGACTCCCTGGTTGCCCAACCATTGCTTGCAACGATGATTTTCATGGTCCGATGTTTTATGGGGCCAGGTGAGTGGGACAAAAATAACATTTTCAATCCTTCGAATGAAGGATAAAAAAATTCTGGCACATCATACAATTGATATTGCCATGATGCACCAAGATGTGTGAAAGCATCACCTATACCTACAACCATCATTTTATGAAATCAATTGGTTGAAAATCATAGTTCTATGGGAATGATCTTTTTGACAAAGCCAGTTACCATTTTTAATTTTTAGAGTTCCCAAGTTCATGAGTTCCAGATAATTTATAAACATGTACTTATTTAAAGCACCTGTTCTATATTCCCTAATGTTTTATCTTGTATTTTAGTAAATGTTAATTTGTGTTATTTTGTTTTCTTCCTTCCTAGGCTATTAGGCACTTACTGAAAGATAATTTACTCTTCAGGAGTGCAAATTAAAATGACAGTTTTAGAGCCATCACTGTACTGTATTTTCCTCTAAACAACCAAACGCTTGGTAAATTACTATACTCTGTAATTCTTTTCTAATAATGAACATTGGCCAATTTTTTAGGTTCAAATTACAATGTGTTTTACAAACACAATCCTGTGTATTCCTTGTGCAGCTTATTTTGCAAGTTAGGCATATCAGAAAAATACAATCAATACAATGATTTTAATACTCTAGTGTAAATATCTTTACATTAGAGTATGTAAGCTGTAAAAGGACTGGAAAGCTACCACACAGTATCTTAATAGTTGTTGTAAGAGATAAAAATCAACATTTAGTACAATCATTTCTCCTTTATTCAGCCAATGACATCTTCCATCATGAAAAAAGTCATTACATGAGATCCTGTACAATTTATATATAAAAATACATTTCTTTTTTATTCTTACATTACAAATGAAATATTCTTACAGGAATCAGACCAAACTAAATGTTCTACACAGCACTACAAATGTTAATGAAACATACGTCCTCACTTTTCACACTTACAGGCTAACCGTATTACTATGAGGAAATAAAGTCAATAACTCAAAAGTATATACATATATAATCAGTTATAAATGATCAATGTGAGAGAGAGAGAGAGAGAGCACAGTAACACTATTTTAAATCCTAATAATGACTTAATATTAACAATCATTACACAGACAATAATAATAAGTATGACAACACTCGTGTTAGTCTTCAGTCATCTAGGAATTTACTATGAGCTACCAAATCTTGTGCTATTGCTTTTTTTTTGAAAAGAGAAAAAAGAGTGAGTAATCATAAAATAATGATGCATTATATTGCAACTTAATCAACACCTTCCAAATAGAGATCCATCCAAAATAATAGGATATAATACAACTTAAGAAACCAACCAATTCAAGAACGAAAGACCAAGGAAATTCACTCCATTTATCACTCCAACACTAAAAGCTACAGAAATGGTGCACATAAACATAAAAAAGAACTTTCATCATAACCAACAGCTGCTATCATCCTATCAAAGCATAGCATGAAGGGCATCAAGTAACTACTGCTTTTAACTTTTCATACAAAGAATGATTAATGCAACATTTTCCAGCAGTTGTGAAATGACATTACAATATTACACTAAATAAAATGTGTTGACTTCATACATTTTACAAAAATGTATTTACACATGACAAACCAAGAAAAGAAAATGCTTTACTACTTATTTTACAACCATCAACATTTTTACCAATGACTCTTATCACAGTTTCCTTAATTACTGACTTTTTTTCCATCTTCAACTGCTTTGGGGAAAGTACTCCGGAGGGATTTGATTGCCATTCTTTAGTTGCAAGAACCTTTTACCAGCTTTGTCAAAGTCCCATCCATTCTGTTCCAGACATCTGGAAAAAGATGCAATAAGAAATGTTATTTTTTGCCAGAAGTGATACAGACTGAAATAATAATGAGAACAGTAATAGGAAAGAAAAATGGCAAATTTCATAAGAATAATGAGTTAAATTTCAGTACATCCATAAACGCATTTGTATAATGAATTACCCGAAGAAGAAAAATGTATACTTCAACCCCTACAATCCAGGTGATGTGATCACATTATGAAAAAATTTGGCTTAAGGACAGGTGAAGTGAACATGCTGTCACAAAAAAATTGGGCATTGGATTGGGGTGACTGGAATATGCCGTCATGAGAATTTTGGCTGACGGTCAGAGTTATGGAAATGAATTGCTAACAGTGCACAAAGCTATTGGAAAACTACAAGATTCAGTTGGGCATTTAAGAAATTTTCTTACATTATTCCTCTTGGTAAACAAATGTGAAATGCACCATCTGTGAGCCATTACCAGGCATTTAGGAAGGGGCTCCTGCATTATTCCTATCAGTAAACAAATGTGGAATGTACCATCTATGAATCATGATTGGAAAAGAGCTGGCTCCAGAGAGTATACTATTTCCATGTTCAGGATACTATTCCTGCCCATTGTGACCAGTGGTGCTGGTTGTATTATAGAAAATTGAATATTAAAAAGGTTAAAATGATACAAATAACTAATTGTTATTTATTGTTCTCACTACTGCACAGAGTTATGGACTATCTGTAGAAATTATATGAAGTTTGTGCAAGGAAAAAGAGTCTATTATCATCTGGATACAACATATCAAGACAGATTACAGACCTTCGAAATTGACAAAAAATAAAAAAAATAAAATAAAATAAATAAATAAATAAAAAGAAAAAGAAAAAAAATCTTTGTGCTGAAAAAGATTTAATACTGCAAAAGGGAAGCAAAGAGTCTTGAAACCGCACGAGTGTTCGCATGGGCCTGGCCTACAAGCCACATACAGTGAAAGTTGCCACTCATGGAAGCCTAATGCCTCATGGACTGAGGGCCATGTGTGGGCAGCAAAGCAGCTGGGTTAACACTATGAAAGGTAAACTTACAGTTGAGAATACTGAGGAAGCATCCAATGGGTTAACACTATGAAAGGTAAACTTACAGTTGAGAATATTGAGGAAGCATCCCAGATATTTCTGAGAATTTTGCTATCATGACTTGCTGCACCGGCTGCAGCGTTTCACCTTGCATGGGAAGGTTTGCTTCAGCAGAAACTATGCTTGCCTCAACTCCAACTGGTTGTTGTACTTGCATTGTTGGTGTACTACTTTTGAAAGATCTCTGGAAATGACAAATATAATAGAAATAAGTTTCCCAGTTATATAAAATTGATGTTACAGTTAAGTAATTTTTACAGTTAAGTAATTTTCTATTCCATCTCTCTTGAGTGTCATCTAGA